ATAATATCAATTAATGTTGAATCAATGATGTCTTTTAACAATTTCAAATCCATATCTTTATTCAAATTATGAAGTAAAAAAAGAGTCCAATGAGACAGTTGTCAAAAGTGCCAGTCCAAACATTTATTTTATGGATGTTTGTTATGGACTTCGTGAAATATCCTAATCCTCGAAGAATCTTTCCATTAACAATTATGACAATTTATTGTTTAAGAAAAAAGAAAATTTATCAGAAAAATAGATATTAAAAAGGAAATTTGAATTATTTGTACGTTCATTTATGACTTTACAAAATTGTAAACGATAGTTAAAGTCGCCCTCATTAAGTTTCTGTAGCAATTTAATTTAATATAGAATTCATATCAAATCTATTTGTAGTGTTTCAAAATTCATTGAATACTAGTTCGACTAACACCAGATACAGCAAACAAATATCTCGTATTCAACATAGCTACTAAAAGTTAGAATCTCTGTTATTGTATGGAAATCGATGGTCAACACACCGATTCACATTCAAATTTGACGATCTAGTTGTTGAAACAAACAAATCTCTAATTGTCTTGACAACGTGCTCTTCGCTTCATCACGGGCGTCGGCAAAAAAAAACACGGGCATAACACTGCTCTTTTTCTTATAGATTGTCATACCGACATTTGTGACTTTTAACATTGACCTCCAAAGGAATCTCGGGCTCCCAATCAGTTTTTGTATTGCGCTGCTATTACAGTTTTCCAGAGCTCTGATCCTCCTGGGCCCAATCTTTCATGCTTAAAACTTTTTTTCTTTTTTGAGCAGGACCCCTCTTCAGTTCCTCCCCCGGAGGATAGCTAATTCTCCCGCTTGGGCATCATCTTCGCGAAGGGAATTCTAAGATCCTCTTGTCTCTTAAAGTTCTCTTTAAGTTCTTGATTCTTCGTTTTTCGGACAGGAGGGGGAAGGGATCCGACTGTACTTCTGCCTCCAGTCCCCGCCTTGGCATTTGTCCATCATCTCGTGGAAAAATGATGGTTTAAAAATCGTGGGAGAGGCGATCTTTTTAAAAAAAATGCCCGCCTCCATCGCGAAGCGAAGCCACCATTGAAATTTCTTGTTCTCTTGAAGATTGGTGACGAATTGTTTCTCAATGTAACCAACGGGTCCTCCGATCTTCTTTTTCCCGTGTCGCTCGAACCCGTCTCAAGTCTTTTTCTCTCTCGAACTCTGTAACCGAAAAGACATTATCGCGTAGCTTATGTTGCACAACTTAGCATCAATTTTATTACTTCCACCAAGCGGTATTAGGACTCCGATTTACCGATTTATTACATCATATTTATGGATCTGATCATCTTTCCATATAAAGTGATAGCCTATGAATGTACTACCTACTTCATTTTTACATTTGTTTGACTTGCGAATACAAAAATAACGTCGCTTAATTTCTTAGCTACACAATATGGCAGCTTCTCAATTGCTCTGCAACTTTGAAGTTCTTCCTTTTTTCCTCCGAGAGTATATATATTATACAGCCAGATTTTCTGCCTCTTCTCGAAAAAGATTTGCTTGGCTTTTTGTTCGTACCATGACTTTGTTTGAAGATCTGATATTCTCTTTTCCTTACATTTTTATGGATTTCTCTTCCTTTTCATCTTTCCTAAAGAGTCCTAAGGAGAATCAATCTCTTCAGTTCCAGTAAAAAAATTGCCACGTAAATCGACGTAATAAAATGAAGATCCTGAGCGAAGTATGACCTCTGCTGAGGTCATTTCCGTAGTTTTATGCTTGGCAGACCTGTACGCCAACAGATACGGCGGGACTCAATCGGTCCCAATCCTTCTCTCAATTCTCAGAAACAAACTTTGCCAAATAATCCAAGATAATATGATTCTAACGTTCCATCTGCCCATCCGATTGTGGATACAAAGCAATTGTTCTTGTTTTCTTAATTCCTAATATGCGCGACAGTTCGCGGAAGATTCTCGACTCGAAGTTTTTTTCCTGATCTGTGAACTTCTAGAGGAACATGCCTGGAAATAATTTGATTTAAGAAGGTTTCCGCAATAGTTTTTGACCTAACACTTAACTTTCCTTTCTTTAAAGGGAAAATTTTCATTTGTAAAACAACCAACAACGATTAGTAAATACTTATTTCCGGAAGGAGTTTCTGATAGAAGTGTCCGTATGAGTATGTCCATCTGGACTCTTTCGAATGGAGCGCCAACATTATATATCTATAAAGGAGATTTCCCCTTTCCTGATGGATCTCTCCTTGCTACTCACACTTTGCAAGTTCTGCACCATTCCTCCACGTCTTCCATAAGAGGTCCCAGATTCGAATCTTGGCTGAAGTAATATTTTTCGGCTGAGATAATAAAAGTTTCTTATCCAAACTAAAAGGAGGGGATTATATATATTCACAAATGATCGAACGTTTCGGCTCGCAATTATTATAGCATCTCAGATTGATTGTGTTTAAAAGTCCGAACGTGCACAATTATATCTGATATAAATTAAAATAAACCAAGAATATTATATTATTCGAAACTAAATATATTATTCGAAATCTAACTTTGACCGATCATTGGCGCTCTCTATCATATTTATGTTATATATTACCTCGATCGAATTTTATTTTTAATTAATAAAAACATTGCATCTCACAATTCGTAAAATTTTGCGAAATTATTTTATTCTTCTCCGATTTCATTACTTCACCAGTTAACTCAACTCATAGTATACAAGATAACGTCAAGTTATGAAGGGTATTAGGTTATGTCTATAATATTTTTCCATCCTGGTGGATAGAACTCAAACTTGAGTTATCGAAAACACCCTAAGTATTGATATATATTTCATGTGAATTATGCGCGATAGGATTTATACACAGACTTCTATTACTATACTAGATTATTAACCTACTTTTCATTATGTAAAAATATTGCTTGCGCACAGTGAATACGCAGAATAAAACTGTCACATTCAGAAAAAAAGATGTCACTAGATCAGATGATCTAACGTTTCTGAGATTGGTTCAAAAGTATATAGAAAGCATGCGCAGTATATAAATGTATTTCTTCTGCGCATATAGTACATACATTTTGACAACAATTAAAAGGACAAATTAGCGGTCTAATGTTATAATAGAAGTCTGTATCCTAATAGCTTCCGCTCTCTTGTTCAAGCCTATAGCATATTCAAAAACGTAAGCAATAAGGAAATCGTAACATTGCATTTGTTATTGGTCTTATGGTTTCTACTATGATTGGCCAATTTGCTTACTGCTTACGGCGCGTTCACACTTTGACGGAAAAGCAGAAAGCAGCAACTAATCAGAACTCGTGCTCGACAATTTCAGCTTTTTGTTACTAACTATTAGGAAGAATTCTGATTGGCCACTGTTTTTCTGTTATGAACGCCTTTACGTTTTTATATGTGCTTCATGAGCTTCATTCCCAAATCTAGGACCAGAAGTCCAATTTTTCCTGGATATATACTCTTTTCTCAAAGAGTCTGGAGAGACATCTAACCGGATCTTTAACATATCTGGGGAATACTCTTTTTGACACTCATTTCAAAAGGAAATTATTAAGTTCATCGCACATAAAATATGTAATAAGCTAATCACTAGATCATTACTATAGTTGTTCCAAAATTTACTGCCAATATTGAAAACCTATAATTCACGTGCACTATAGACTTTCAGTACTGGCAGTAAATTTTAGAATATAGTCTATGACCTAGTTTACACCGAGGGTTCGATCCGGGTCAGAATGCAAGAACCACTGCAATCGAGCATTCCCCTGTTACAGCCGAATGATAGGGGAATGCTCGACTGCAGTTGATTGATTCTTACATTCCGACTCGGATCGAACTCTCGGTGTAAATTAGGCCCATGTATCTATAAAAAATAAAAAAATTTGAAAATTATTAGATATTATATTATGTTAAAATATGTTTTTTGGCCAATACTATATACATGTTTTTATGTTCTTAGGATTATTAAATATACTCTTTTTTTTCTAGTTTTGTCCAAATAACTTATTTTGTATTACAATTTAGCCTAAAATGTCCTCTTTTCTTTTTTACTTTACTACTTTTAAATCAGAAATCTCCAATTTATTAAGGTTAAAACTGGTAATTATACGATAATCCCAAAATGAGTACATCCTGAACACATTGAAAACTCCCCAAACGGACGTTGCTCGAAAAAAAAAAGAATACATATCTGGGAAAAGCCAGACGTATGATCTTCCCTATATATGATACACTTTAAATAATATTGATACTGATTGTAATTTTAAAGCTTTATAAACATAAAAAATATTTAATGAAAAATAACTTTATTGTAACATTTTGAAAAGCTTTTGATACCAGCTATTAGATTCTGGAATACAAATTGAACATTTTATAAAAAAAAATTGATGTGATTTTAACCTGACTTTGATGACATCACTCAAACTGATCAGATCAGGAAATTTTTGATCTTTTTGAACTCTACAATTTTTGTACGAAACATTTCTTTCAGAAATGTTTACTTTGCAAAATATTTAGGAGGTTACTTTTTTTACACCCTGTATATATGCCCCCCGTATATGAATGACTGCTAAATATCATGTATTGGTACAGACTAAAAATCGCTGAATTGGTTCAATAATTTTTTTACTCAAAAAACAATTTTTGTCATTTGCTACTTTTCTGTGAAGTTAATAGAATTTGAATTAAAAATTATTGAAGACCAATATTTAGTGATATTTAGTAATTAATATCTTAATTATTGCGAAAATTGCAAAATGATGGAGGACTCAGTTTAGTCCGCTGTACCAGCACACAAAATATTTGGAAGTTATTCTGGGGCACTCTGTGTGTTGTTTATAAAAAAATTAATAATAATGAATTTGTTAATGTTTTAATATATATTTAATAATTTTGAATAAATTAATTTTGAATAAATTAATTTTCTAGTATCTGTAGAAAATAAAAAATATTATTAACGTTACTAATTGGTTCTTTGGTACATATAGGTATGATAGAATCTTTACGAATGGTCACGTGTACTCAACTATCATTAATAGATCCATTGGAAGTTCATGTAGAAGCACCACCAGTACACGTTGCAGAACCGATTCTTACGCCAATAGGTAAAGTATGTTTCTTTAATTATTTTAATTTATACCAAAAAGTTTGCAAGTTACCGATTTGTCATGAACTATTGCTAATGCCAACATTTCGTGAATCTTGCCATTTACTTCATCAACGCACACTGATACTGTGTTAGTGCTCCTCGCATTGATGAAATGAACAGCAAGGTTCACAAAATGTTAGCATTAATAATTAACTTATTAATAATTAACTTAATTAAATGTAACAACAAAGCTCAGAAAGAATAAATCAATGTAGATATAATAATGCCTTTTATCGAGCCAACATAAGTTATTAGCGTGTAACATTTTATTGTTTCTTAATTCTACAGTATATATTTCGAATTCTGAACCCCTTTTGGGTCCTTTTCAGTACAATAAATTACAATTAATAGAATATATTTATAAATATGTTTATATACAAGTAATTTTTATAAAGCGCGTATTATGAACGTATTATAAATGTGCTTTTTTATTCTGATACTCGATGTTCATTTTCAGCGTCAAAAGATCAATCAAGAGAACAGATCAAAATTGTCGAATATCAAGCAATTTTGATCACGTGACTTGTTTTGACATTAAAAATGAGCATTTAGCGTCAGCAAAACATGAAAAAACATCCTAAGACGAATGGATTAAATTTGCAAAATGACATTGAACTTTTAAATCCTGTATATTTTAATCTCACTTAACATTATTTATACACAATATTTAACTATTTACTCAATTTAATTATCTAATTCTTTACCCAATTTATTTTACTTATTGCTTTTTACTTATTGCTTTTAGTATTTATACATTTATTTCAATTATTGACTTGTTGCTTACAGGTGGTTTAATTATTGACTTGGTTTATTATAATAATTGCATTTTAATTTTATTATAATATATTATATAATTTTATTATATATTATTTTATTATATTAGTTGCTGACCCATATCCTTATTACAGTAGAGTCCCTCTAAATTTGGGACAATAATTGAGAAATGCCAAAATTATAGAGTACCCTCTCTGCAGCACTAGTCTATCAATCACTTGTGCGAAACCAGTTGCGCATGCTAATCTCAAAGTGCACTACAGTGTACATAACTTTAACAGACATATGTACTTATGTATCACATATTACGTATCACAAAAGAATACATTATACAAATACATAATCTATGGAATTATATTGCATACACTGTGAGAACCTAGTATAATTAGGTGCAGATGCGCGCGCAACACATATCCAACCTATTATGGCATATGGAAGGGGCATGACATTAGTGTTTGTAAAAGTGTGAGGAATGCAAAGATTACAGAAGTCAAATTTAGAGAGACTCTATGTAGTTATTTAATTTATTATCGTTTTAGTATATGTATATATAGTATATATACATACAGTATATATACATATATTTTAATCATTACCTATCTAAAATATTTCAATTTTTGATTTGGTTCACTATGTATCTGCAATTTTAACTTTATTATTTAAATTATTCTAATTATTGATTTATATCTTTTACGTATTCTTGTATTAGCCTATTATTGCCTATTATTTATTACAAACAAATGTTTTAATTGTTGACTCGTTGCTCCCCCTCCTTTCGATACATTGTGTCGATATCGTGTTTTGCGTTGACAATCGTCATTCGAAGCATAACTTTGTAACAGGCAACATCTCAATGTTTCACTTACTAATTTCATGTAAGTTTTAATAGAAATTCATATTATTTATTAATTTATACAATAACATAATTTTATCTTTTAGTAAATCTGGCAATTTGATGATTGTAAAATGGAGATTAAAGCGGCGTAGCCAACATTAGCCAGGCTCAATGTTATACAAATTCGAATAAAATCGTTACAACCGTTCATAATACGCGCTTTATAAGGATCATTCATATATAGATGTATTTATAAATTTATTCTATTTGTTATATAATTATAATTTATTATACTGAAAAGGATCTAATATTCGGAGGTCGAATATCGTAGAAATAAAAAATAATAAATTATTACACACTAATAACTTGTGTCGGCTCGATTAAAGGCATTTTCATATTTGTATTGATGTTAGCATTAGCAATAGATTACGCTATTGTGATAATTCGCAAATCTTTTGACATCTCTGAGGAAAATACCTGTTAAATCTTCAAAAGTAATTTTAATTTATTTTATCATAATTTAACTTTAATCTTAAGCAATAATTATTTATAATTATTTAACCCTTCATTGCTCTCATATGAGACAAATATTCTTGACGAGAGCAAATACATTTAATCATATTGTTGTCAAATCTGATTGTGATAGATTGACTATCAGTCGAAAATCTTTGGCTTTTATATATCTTTGATATTATTGCGTGTATCAAATATTAAACTATAAAGAAATAAGATTAAATAATATTAAATAATATTAAATAATATTAAATAAGATATAAATTACATTTTCGAATAAGAGGATTTAATAGAAAATATAATTTTAAATACAAAAAAGTTATATATTAATACATTATTATTAAAGACCGAATTATCCGCCGATCGATATCGATTCGAATTGCTCATAATGCATACGATTTTTCTCGTTGCCATTCACCCAAAGCCATGGCGCGGAGAGCGACGGAGTCACAGCAATGGGGGATGAGGTGCAGTGAAGAGAGCTAGTGACGCGATCTCAGAACTATAATTATCATAATCAAATAACTATAATATAATAAAAGAAATTTATTTATTTAAAAGATTTTGTTAAAATGTAATTTTTGTTCCAAGTATCTTTTTGCATCATTGTTTTTGATAATATTCGTTTAGAAATCAATTAAGTTAAGCTTAGAGTTTAAATTTAGTGAATACTGATTTTTTAAAGAGATATTTTTATCCTTAAAATATCAACTTTAAAAAATTGTTTTGTTATTAGATGCATTTATTCTGACTTATACTGGTTATTAAATTTTACATTTTCTCAAATTTTTAAGTTATTGAACTCTCTTTGTTAATTTGTATATATACGCACATATATACAGATAGATGTCCCATTTTAAGGAGGTTTCAATAATTACTTTGGAATAAAAAATGCGACTGAAATAAATTGTCGTTACAGCGATTTCAAATCATATGCAATATTAGTGCAATGAATTATGAATACTATTTATGTACTATATTTTTAATAAATTATTAGTGTATAGAATATTAACAAATGTATGAGACACACTTATTTATTTACATTATATAAAATTTATTTACATTATATAAAAAAAATTAAGTCTCTAAGTTGGTTTTCGATTAACAATCGAACTTCCTTAATCAATCCTGTTAATTTTCTCTAAAGTTATTAATAAATTATTGATAAAAAAAAAAGATTAATTATGCAGTATATGCCACTAATATCCTCGTAACATATGTTGTCAAGTAACCTTGGATAAATTTTAGCCATCGTTCATTGTTCCTTAAAAAGTTATTAACAAAAAAAGTTCATCAATAAAATCTAATTTTTGGACACGACTGCGCTCTGAAACAAATTCCCTGCTTTAAAAGTGCAAAATATTCTTAACTCTAAATTGATTATAAGTCGATAGTCATCTAATCTTATTTTAATAATTTTTTAAATATCAATTTTGAAAGTCGGCTTATAATATTAAAATAAGATTAGATAATTCAAGTTAACGAAAAAATGTCAGTCGATAAACAGTTAGGCGGAAGTAAAAGTGGAATGATTTGAGGAGATATATATTTTAGGAGATATATATTTTATCATGCTATTTTTTTCTAAATGGAGGCGTTAAAAATATATGAAGTTAGTCTGTTTTTTTTTTTTTTTTTTAAGTAGAATCTATTTTCAAACATCTATGATTTTGATATTGTAGCTTAAGACGAATACAACTTACCATAGATACTTAAGGTCATATAAGTTCACGCACATAAAAAAGTTTATTATCCATATTCTAATGCATGTTCGCGGACATTAATATACATCCTAATACATTCTGAATTACCTTTCGAAGTCAAGAGTATTTGATAGAATATAGTGACATGCAATTATTATTTTTCTTTTTATTTTGTCTGATATCATAGGTTCAGCTTGAGAAATTTCATTTTTAGATATATGTAAAATAAGAAAAAATCTAATGGAGTTAGATCTGGCGAGTATACTGGCTAATAAAAATCTGTATCATCCAATCCAACATCCTGGAAACCTGGCTATATGATTAGATCTTATATGATGTGACATCAATAGAAGGAGCCATATAAGTTCATTTTAATTTCATTAAAATGAACTTCCTGCATTTTTAGAAGATATCATCTTACAACTAAAGCATGCATGTAATTCCAGCACGATGATGCTCTTGATCATAACACAAATCAAAGGTTTTTGGTAATCTACAAGCAATGTCTCTCCGAGATTGGATCGGACTTGTGAATTGGCCAGTACACTCGTCAGATAAAATTCCATTAGAGTTTTCTTATGTGTCACATGAAAAATAAAATTTCTCAAGTTGAACGACATCAAAAATGTCTCATTTGATCACGTTGTGGTCAACTGACGGATAAAATCATTTAAATGGTATTTCCATTTCAAAGAAGAGTAGCAATATTTTTCAAAATTTTATAATTTTGAACCTCTTGAGGTATAACAAAAAGAAAGGCGATATAAATATGTACAAATCAATTTAATTTAATTTAATTTAACATTAATTTAATTTATATACAATTTTTTTTCTAAAGTCAGGTACCAGATTCACATAAGTGTCGATAAGTCAATCATTCAAAGAGGGAATTAGGATATATATATAAAGATGTATTATATAATGCCCGCAGGCGCACGTTCGAGTATGAGCAAACAATAAACTTTTATTTAACGATTAATACGAATAACAAAGATATTAAATAAATGATTAGATAAATTATTTAATAATTAAGTATACGTAATAGTTCATACAAAATTTTGATCGTTTGACTCACAAAGTTTTCATCACTTTAGTTTAGAAAACACAATTCAAATAATTTAAAATCTTAAAATGTAGTAAACTAGTAATATTACAACGATAGGAATCCATGTAATCAACCAAACACTTGTTTCCATCAAAAATCGAATGTAAATTGGAAGTATTTTTGCCACATCAACAAGATAAATAATCAAGATATAAAAATTTCCAATAACTAAATTCCTCGGCGAAATTAATATTAAGTCCAATATGTACACATATAGTCAATTATGTAAAAATTCTAAACAAAAATCATAATTTTAAACAATTATGAAAGAAACTAAAGTGTAACAATTAAAAACTTACAATCCTGATATAAATCGATCGGAAATTAAAACTGATGTTATCTGACAAGAATTATGAGAATTCATATTATTACGCATATTCCCAAGGATAACTGAAAAAGAACAGGTTTCGTATTATATATACATTAAGACTGCCAAGGAAAAAAAAAATTTTTTTTAATCGGGCTCAAAAGCTTTTATTTCAAAAGCTTTTATTCCAAAAAACCCCTAAATTTTTATCAAAAAATATTAAGGTTTAGAGGTTGTTAGTAAACAATTTTTAAATCAAAGTTTCGATTTTCCTTAATACATTTAATTTGCAAAAATGGCTTAATCTGGATTTCCAATATGGTACTGTATGTTTTTTTAATAGCTAACATGCAATAGTTCATTTAACCCTATGATGTATACCTTAAGAAATATGGTTTAATTAATGTGAAAAAATAATACAATTTGAACGCTTGCTAAAATCGATCTTGAACTCTGAAATTTGGTTTTTTTTACATTAATCGAACTATATTTCTTAAGGTGTATATCGTAGGGTTAAATAAACTATTGCATCGTGTTTAGCTATTAAAAAAATATACAGTACCATATTGAAAATCTGAATTAAGTCATTTTTGCATGAAATTAAGTATATTAAGGAAAATCGAAACTTTAATTTAAAAATCATTAGTGACTCTAAATCTTAATATTTTTTGATAAAAATTTAGGAGTGTTCTGTTGACATAAAATGGAAGCTTTTGAGCCAAGTGCTTGATTAAAAAAAAAATTTTTTTTCCTTGGTAATCTAATATACATATATCGAAAATTGACAATAATATGCGTTACAAATTAGCTATTGATTACGATTGGAAAGCTCTGTAAGATGTCAAAATATAATAAAGATAAAACAAATTTTACGGCAGATATATTCCTCCTTTTAGCTTAATAAATACTTTAATAAGTTCCCATCTCTTTTCGATATCAACGATAGCTAAATCTAAAAGAATATTTGTGGGAAAAGGGATGTACCATACAAAGAAACGAGCACATCGGATTCACCCACCCCAGCGCCAGAAAATTTATTATAAGTTATGTTGTATGTTATAGGGTATATTGCATGTGACAGACTAATTATGCGTATGTGTGTGTCATATATATCATATATATTGTGAAATGCGGAATTTACTCGTAACAGATGTTACAGAGGTATACGCAGTGTAGACCCTGCGACGTGATTCGGAATCAGGTGACGCTGATTCACGAGTGTGATCAGAATCGGATAGCTGATTCGCGGTGTCGTGACAGGCGCGTTAATATGAATGCGTGCACATATATGTTGGTCTCGGTATGCGATGATCGTGATAGTACGGGACCCGATACAGGATTTCTCCTGCAAATAATGCAAACGGCGGTTATTGAGAACGCTCGCTCGAGGCAGAGAACACTCCACTTCGTGTTTATTCCGGTGCACAGAGACTGTCCAGCTCGCTTGCCAAATACTGAGAATTCAATGGAGGCAAAGTACGCTTTATCTCCTTGCCTCGTTTGTCCATTGGTGTGAACGAAAGTTTTCGCTGCTAAAACTGCTCAGCGGAGACAGCGGAGAGCTACTTTCTAACCCTTTTTCACGCTATTTACTGTTTGTCGAAGATCAAAATCGGATGATGGTCGTGTTGGCTCGGCGGATTTTGAGTGCTGACTCGCTCGGGACTGTGATCGGGAACGGAATAGATCTTTTTTACAATCGAATATTTTATATCGCATTGTTAGATCATGTCGACATTTCCCAGTTTTCTTCGACAGTCGGTGTTTTCTCCTGCGGAAAGCGTTTTTAGTAAATAAGTGACTCGATCTCGTACGACGCGCTGTTTGTTGATCTATCAATATTTTGGTTTTTGAAAAGATTTAAGTATATCTCATCGTCGTATGCGAGTTTTTCCACATATAACATTCAGCCGGGAACGATACATTTCGGGAATGCATCGTTACAACTTCATATATTTTTGGCGTCTCCACCTAAAAAAAAACGTGATTAAAATGCGTCCCAGTTTTGAAACATTTTTTGTATTATCAATAATGCCAGAGAAAATTGACTGGATTAATTAAAATAATACATATGCCGTATAATAATTAATAATTTTAATATTGAATCTATCATAGAATTTGCAATATTATGATTTTACTGAAATGAGATACAATTTGCGTGATAACAAAATAAATTTTTATATAATAGCAAAAATAAATTATGAACGTATTTGAAACTTTTCAGAATGTCTGAGGCGTAAGGATGAAATAATTAAACAAGCTCTGCGCGAAAAGCAATTATTGATGGCGGATATATTAAATATTCCTAAAGAAGATTTTGAACATGTGGCAGACATAGCATCTGAACCATCCACTGTGGAAAAGGAACCTACTGAATTGATACTTGCTGCTATTACTCAAAGTATTTACTAGTACAAAATTTATTATTAGTGCTAAAAAGTAAATTTAGTTCTAGTAATAATATTGTAATTAATAAAGTTCATTATATGATATTGGACTTGTATTATAATATTAAAGTAAAAATATATTATTATTAGAGCATTGGATCGTAAAATTATCGGATACCAGATATCGGATATTCGGACAGAATGTAACATATCCGAGAAGACAATTTCTGTTATCCGACCAGATTCCGAGAAAGTGTCTTCTAAAAAAGAAGTCTTTTTTATAGAGAAAAAGATTGTAATTTTGCACCAATGTGTAAAATATTATAGCTTCACGAATATGCATACTTATTTCTAGAATTTATATAAGAAAAAAATCAGTTAAAATTTTAATGACATTAAATTTCAACCGAATATATTCTATATACTAATGTTATTCGATCAGATAATACCGCATTCCGGATACTTTCCGGAATGCGGTATTATCTAGTGCAATTTTAATTGTTACATATCTTTTAAATTTATTGTTTATATATTGTTAACTAGAAGTATATAACTAATAAATATAAAAGATTTAAAATATAATATCTGTTACTCGTAATAATTGCGAAATTATGAAATTCTCTTAGAATTTCTTTTATTTAGAAAAATTTGAATATTTTGATTTAAAGAAATTTTTGTCAAAAGTATCTCTTCAATGATTTTATTTCTAATTGACAAAATTGTATTTATAACATAAAATAGTTACATGATTTTTTAAATTTCCAGATAAGATTTATTTCCATTTTTATACACATTTAATTTATTTGAAATGTAACTTTCTGTTCAGGGGAAGAAAGAAGGGAAGAGAGGGAAGTAGTAGTAGTAGTAGTAGTAGTAGTAGTAGTAGTAGTAGTAGTAGTAGTAGTAGTAGTAGTAGTAGTAGTAGTAGTAGTAGTAGTAGTAATAATAGTAGTAGTAGTAGTAGTAGTAGTAGTAGTAGTAGTAGTAGTAGTAGTAGTAGTAATAGTGGTTAATTGCAAAACTTAACCTAGCTTATTACTAAAACTAAACCCAAATTTAATTATTTTTTACTGCTAATTTTCTGTTTTAGTATAAATTAATATGTTTACGAATTTCTAATCATATTTTTTATAAGAATGAAACTGAATATTTTATATAAAATGCTTACTTTAAAGAAATTGCTACTTTTTTCAAATCTAATATTTCAAATAAGTGATCTTACTCTACGATTATACAAATAAAAAATGAATATTAAGAATTCTGAATAATCAAATTTACTTTAAATTTACATAAAAAAGTATTTGAATATTTGCAAATTTGAATAGAATATCAATAATAAAGAAATTTTTAAACTTTTTTCAAGAATTGAGTATATACTTTGGTATTAAAAATTGTTATTTATTTAATCTGGAAGAGAAATGAAAAGAGAAGAGATATTTTGTACATAATAAATTGTAGGAAAGAATGACCTAAATCGGACTGTGTTTCAAAGGGATCTTTTTAATTTAAATGAATACGGCAAGCAGATTTGCGTGCTATTTATAATGTAAAATATTTATAAAACATCGAACATGTGACAGCAGTTTGATAGTTTTTTGTCATAACATTCATAGAATAGACGCAAATATTATATGTATTTATTATATTTTCAGCCATCATACGAAAATTTAAAAAAAAAAATCCTTGTAAATCATTTAAAAGATGTTAAAAATTTGAAAAGTAATTAAAGAATGTAGAATTTAAAAATATCAAGCGTTTTGTGATTCTTTTTGTGATTTATTGTAAAATTTGTTCCAAAGTTCGAAAGGATGTCTAATCGGACCTCTTTTTAGGTGTTCAAATCGGATCTACAGTACAATAGATATCTTACAGATCTGGTATTAGTGATCGGCTGACCAGATCTGGTCCAAGGAATTAAATCAATGTCATGAGTCATTTAAATCAAACTCAGATTAATTGAGTTTTATTGATTTCAATTCTAATAATATAAACTATAATTTTTTTTTAGAATAAAATTTTTATCTTCGACTGTCAAATTGCTCGTTTTTACTTACGATTTCAATACTAACAAAAATTAATTAAAATATTTTTAAATTCCATCTAAAAGTCCATAAAAATAGGAGTGTCTGATTTGGACCAGAGGCTGGTCTGATTTGAAACCAATATTTCCTTAAAAAATATTTTTACATTTTTCATTATAGTTCAATACAGGTGAGAGATATGTCAAAATGGCTTAAAGCAAAAATAAAGGGAATAAATGACTTTCCAACGGCACCTTCGGTTTTACAATCGGACTTTATTTACGTCTTGTAGATAACAAAAACTGCAAATAGATCTGATTTACCCCATTCTCCTCACTTACATAATTTGGTAGAAACCAGCAGTTGATGTTGCATTTATATTATGACAACTACACAAAAAATTGATAAAATTTGTTTCTTACAATTACTTATGGAATAACTTTACATATATAATATGACGTATATATATATTCTTTTACTCTTGTCTGTAGCTGATCAGCTGATGGGAATGCTGAATTCTTCATTAAATATAAGTGAGACGGAAACAATATTTGCGTCATGTGGATCATCGACATTATCATCTTCTGCGTGTGAAGCTACTGGTTGTCCATCGTTTCGAAATCATTCGCATCCTCAACAATCAGTCATGGGAATGTTGCAGCCGATCTGTTATTATCTAACATCCCAACTCTCACAACTGTCACAACTCTTGGTAAATATAGTCATTATTTATTTATAGAATATTTCAGATTGAAGGATATTGGGGGTTGACGACTTTATAAAACACAACAAATTTTCAAATAGTTTGTATTTATTAGAATTATATACTCTAAGAAATTAGGGGATCATTTTTTCTCAGTAAATTTTTGCTTTTTAAACTATTACTTACTATTATTACTACTTAGCGAATAGTTAACGTAAAAATAAAAATTAGAAAAGAATTTTACGGAGCAAATTACACTTATCAACAAAATTATTGCAACATAAATTTATACTATAATTTTTCATAACGTCAAGTAAGCGTAATTCCATGAATAATGGACGTTTAAAAATTTTTTTTCATTCTCAAGAGTAAAATCTGTATTTTAAGATGATTTTCATTTTGAATTCATTCTTATTTCTATCTACAATCTTATTTAAAGTAAGAAAGTGTTATATCTCCAAAAAGAATGCATAGTTTGACACACTCTGACTACGTTCCATTTAACGCTCACAATGCTCGTGAAATTATTTCATCTTTATCGTTCAAATATTAAACAAGGACAAATGATGCTTGCGAATGTTAAGTGGAACACAGTCTCGGTGGAGTGGAATGAATTCTTTTTACAAATGTTATGTTAATTATCATAAATTATTATTCCTTGCAAATTAAAAAAAATGATTGATACGATTTTTTGATGCGGAGATACGGCGTATCAAAATTATCTATGTATTTTTGTTTAACTACCGCCAGCATTAGCATTATCCGATGCGCACGAGTAGGTTGCTAATTGAACTTTGTGTATCATGTGTGTGCGTGCAAGTGCGCGTGTGCACATCACGCATACATGACGCGTGCGCGTGCATATACCATGCATACATGATGCGTACATGTACCATGCATACATGACGCATGCGCGCGAGCGTACATGCACGCACGCACGCAGGCAGGATCATGCCGAAATCATAAAAATCAGGAGTTACTTTAAATTATTTCTCGTATAATAATCAGTGTAAAAGTTTTTTTTTTATATGAAAGTTTATGCTTTGAGATGATATTAATGATTACGTTTGTCAAGTTTTTTGTTAGTCGATAGAAGACTATAAATTTCAAAATTTTATACATCTCAAATATCTTTTATTAAAAATTAACCACGCCTTTGAATATTAAACTAACAATGAGTAAAAATTGAACAAAAATACTCTAAGTTTGTTCTGTAAAATACTTTGATTTGCCCTTGTATAATAGATCTTTTATTTTAATTTATTATTGCTTAGCAATTTATACGAGCATGTAATAAAAACTTTAATTACGATTGTATTATATATATTTTAATTATTTAATTGCCAAAACTGATGCAATTGTTAAAATATTTAATTTATTTCGCAATTTTTTCTTTACCAAATTTAATTGTAAAAATCTCTGTAGTATAAATAAATGTGATAAAATTAACATATTTTATAAGCCATTAAATATTCAAACATTGGTTTTACATTTGGATTTTTACTTTTATCTACTTGATATATTCCAAAATTGCAGGATTGAGATTGTAGGATTGGTATATATTCCATGGAAATTTGTGATATAAATTTTGTCATTCAATGTTAACCATCTTCAACATTAATGTCTAATGATGGATATAAGATCACAAACTCTGCAATTGACATTATATGTCTACTTAATGTATTTTGTGTAGTAAAATTTGTGGCAAATATCAGATAAGGGTTATTAAAATTGAATCGCATTTTAATTTATAGAGTTTTATGTACAATAAAAAGTCAGTTTTATCAATTTAAAATCAAGAAAGTTTCTTTTTTCGATTTTAATTTTTGATTTTTTTTTAGGAAAGCATCAATTTTGGCACCAAAATACATTTCATCGTGTGAAAGATAATTATCCGGGTTCTTAACAAAAATGTCATTTTCAAATACATTTTTTTTTAATCGTCTTTTTTTTTATAAAAGATTTTAAAATTATCTTATCCATATCTGTTACCCTTTCAAATAAATACAATAACTAAGGGCTTTCGCTTTCAAATTCTAAATTGATTTTTGTTACCATTTCCAGAACATATGTTAAGAAAAGGAAATAGATCTTGAAGCGTCGTTGTTCAATCAATTTAAAATATTCTTTGTCATGAACAAGTATCTTCAATTGCTTTTTCGAAAACATCTTTAAAGCTCCCGATGCTGCAGAATATTATTAATGACTACAAATTAAAAAGTAAATAAATAATTATATTGTTATAATAACAATTAATTACTTATTATCAACTTATTATCAACGTTGCTTCTGTAATTGATTATTGCTTTATTTAGAATGTAAATTTTAGATTTAACTTACACAACACGAGAAAAATACAAATATATTATGTATTGATACATAATATTAATTATTAACAATTTCAATATTTGTTGCAAAATTATATATAATGTATAACTTTATACTAACTGCCCGAAAGTACGCTTAAATTAATAAATAAATTTAAATCGAGGTAATATTTTTCGCAATAAATTTATTAATAGTTTCAATATATTAATATCTTTAATATGCTTGATGGTAGCATCAAATTAAATTGCTTGTTGTCAATTTAATTCACGATTACTAGAGTAGTTTTAATTGCGTTGATAGTCCGAAAAAACAATTCGGCGCATAGTTCTAAAAAGACTACAATATGATATATATGCAAGTACATATATATATAGTGTATATTAGTAATTCAAGATTGAATTATTTAAAGCAATGAAGATCTAGCTTCGACCGTAATATGCATTTTTCAAATATTGATTATAATAACTTATACAAATTTTATATGTTCCTGTAGTTTTTTATAGAAAATTTTAAACAGGGCCAATGAGTTATGAAATGATGCTTGAAATCAAGCGCATGACTAGAAAGAATGTTTTCAAATATGTTGTATTTAATGTATGCACCATTATGAATTTTGTCACTGATTTGGAGGTTTCTATGATATTGATATGTTATGAAATAACGTTATAAATAATATTAATATTGAATGAATATATCAAAAATATTGAATTGTATTAGGAATACAAATTAGTTCGGTCCGTTTCCCTAAAGATAGCTCCAACTGTTGTAAATGGTTCATAGTGACAGTTGATTTTGGCGATTTCAAAGAGGTTAAACATCTGCTAATAATTCAGTTTATATCGCTTTGAGTTTTATACAAAAACCTTGATTTTTTACTGTGTCATTTGAAATGTCGAATTTTGTGTTAACCAAGCAGTATTTACGGGAGGTTTTGATTTTCTGCTTTAATTGGAAAAAAAGTGCGGCTGAAGCCCATTGAATGTTTGTTAAAGTTTATGGTGACACTGCTCCAACTGATAAATCATGTAGGGAATGGTTTCGAGGATGGAGATTTCAGTGTTGAAGACAGGCCTCGCTCTGGACAGCCAAAAAAATTCGAAGAATTAGAGGCACTCAAAGAAGATCAGAGTCAAACGCAAGAGGAGCTTGCAGAATCATTGGGGGTAACTCAACAAGCCGTTTCTATACGATTGAGAACCGTGGGAATGATTAAAAAAAAAAAGGAAATTGGGTGCCTTATGAACTGGAACCGAGAGACGTTGAAAGGCGATTTTTCACTTGCGAATAGCTGATTCAAAGACAACAGAGAAAAGGTTTTTTGTATCGGATTGTGACTGGAGATGAGAAGTGGATATTCTATGACAACCCCAAAGAAGAAAAAATACTACGCTAAGCCCGGTCAATCGATCTCAACATCAAAATCACGGCCGAACATTCATGGTCCGAAGATCATGCTCTGTATCTGGTGGAACCAAAAGGATCTTGTTTATTATGAACTGCTGAAACTGGCGATTCCATTACGATTGATATCGGCTACAATTGATTTGTTTGCATTGCGAGAAAAACGGCTAGAATATGAGCAAAGATAAAGTCTATTTCTTTTAGTTTTATTACATTTAGATTAAACTTTTATGTATAAACGACCTAGAGAAAAAAAGAAAGGGGAGGAGAGAGAGAGAGAGAGAGAGAGCAACTAAGAAATTCAGATGGTGCTACTGAGGAACTTACTTATTTCGCTTTATGCGCACTTCATTTTGGGAAACACTAGCATCAAAGGCCGATAAAGAGTTGCGCTACTATATATATTGTGGTTAGACCGTGTTCTTCATATATACACAAGTATATTGAAATAGCAAAAATGCTACGCACGACACTTACAATACATATATTGCATTTCATTACTGTTTTTCTGGCCGGCTATCGGATTTCGCATCGAAACATAGTTTGCGGAAACCTTCTTGTAATTTGCAATTTCACGAGTTTTAATTCACGAATTAATAAAGTTCCATCTGTATTTGGTGAGAACGAGTATGACAGAGTAGACAGCACACTAGTCTGCTATGCTAGAGATCCCGATTTCTCGAGTCCCTGTAAAACCAAATTATTTTCATACACTCGTTCTCCTCTCGGAAGGAAGCGGCAACTCCGAGAATATTCTTGCCAAGAACACTTCTCTAAACAAAAACTTCGTCGTTCAGAATCGACTTAAATTGTAAATCCCATATGAAACTGTGTACGAACAGCGTATGCACCACAGGCATATGAGAGAAGTCATCACGCTTGGACATGAGCAATAGGACGAGAGAGAGAGAGAGAGAGAGAGAGAGAGAGAGAGAGAGAAATCTATATTTGTCAATATTAAATTTTTTGATATAATTCATTGCATCTCGTCTCCCGCACGAATCTCTTTTGCGTTTCAATCGTTTTAAGATCCGATGAACTATTCTGTGCAAAAGTCAGGTAGTTTTTTATTTACATTTGCAAATTTACTTAACAGTAAATTAATTAATGTCTTTATGTATGTTTTTCTTTTCAAACCGAAGGATGCAAGATTTCCGTCATAATGTCGTAAAGTATCAGTGACTGAAAAAAATCACATCATTGTTTTTATAATTTTGTATTTGTTCATTTAAATTATACATTCTATGCACATAAGATGAAATACATAAGATGAAAATTGTTTATTTTCTTCTCAGAACTCTACGAATTTTTTCAGAATTTTTTATTAACTTTTTAATACTACATTTTAATACTATTAGGTATACAACTTTGCTTCCGCCGTTTTTTTCCGAAATTCGAGGCTTTATTGTAAAAAACTGGTTATATATTTATGATTCAAAGTATTGTCCATCGCTGGCCACTACTTTTTCCCATCTCCCTTTCGGGTAGCGTACGAATCCCGCGTCGAAAAAACTGGTCATCTTTTGAGGCTATTCACGAATCGATCCAATTTTTTACTTCTTCATAAGACCGGAAGTGCTGGTCAACCAGGCTGTGTGCCATTGATCGAAACAAGTGATAGTCAGAGGGAGCAACGTCTGGAGAATATAGCGGGTGGGATAGGACTTCCCATTTCAACGTTTCCAAATATGTCTTGACCACTTTCGCAACATAGGGTCGAGCATTGTCATGCTGCAAAATCACTTTATCGTGTCTCTCGTTGTATTGCGGCCGTTTGTCTTTCAATGCTCGGTTCAAACGCATCAATTGCGTTCGATACCGATCGCCTGTGATTGTTTCAGTCGGTTTTAACAGTTCATAATACACTACGCCGAGCTGGTCCCACCAAATACAGAGCATGACCTTGGAGCCGTGAATATTCGGTTTGGTCGTCGACGTGGAAGCATGGCCGGGAACTCTCCATGATTTTCTGCGATCGTAATGAACCCATTTTTCGTCCCCAGTCACAATGCAGAAATCTCTTCCGTCTTTGCCTTTCAAGCAGCTGTTCACAAGCAAACAAACGCCGTTCAACATCTCTCGGCTTCAATTCGTACGGCACCCAATTTCCTTGCTTCTGAATCATTCCCATTGGCTTTGAGACGTTTTGAAATGGCTTGTTGAGTCATTCCCAATGATCGTGCCAATTGTTTTTGATTTTAACACGAGTCTTGCTCAAGTAATGCCTCCAATTCTGCATCTTCGAAAACCTTCTCTCTTCCACCGCTATGCCGGTCTTCGACGTCAAAATCACCGTTCTTGAAGCATTGAAACCACTCACGTTCTTTCACTAATAGCGGCCTTACCATAAGTATTTGAGAGCATTCGATGAGTCTCAGCCGCAGATTTCTTCATATTGAAGCAAAAATTAAAACTTCCCGCAAATAACGAGAATTTGGCTCGTAAACTGACATTTTCAATCGAGAATAACTTTATGATGCAGACACAAATCGACTAATGTTTCTATGGGGTTATGTTGACAGATGCCCAAGTTTATTGTATGACGTCTATGATCTATTTATTTCGACCATCATTTACCGCTAAAGCCATCTATAGGAAAGCAGCGGAAGCAAAGTTGTACATCTAATACATTTTCTCATTTTTAACAACATAAGAAAATATGGTATTAAAAAATTCTGAAAAAATTCTTTAAAAATTTTTGGAGCTCTATGAGAAGATAAATATACAATTTTTGTCTCTTGCAGTTTTTCTGTAAAGTTCTGTTAGTATTTGAGTAAAAAATTATTGAAGATGAATTGTTGGCAATCTTTATTAATTAATATCTCGTTAACTATTGCGAAAATTGCAAAATGATAAAGGATTTTTCTTCTCAGTTTTCTTCTCAATCCATTCTGCTCCTATGCGTAGGATTTATCATTTATTTTCCAAACATCTTGTGTATATATATATATATATATATATATATGAATGTAAAAAGCTAAAAAAATGTAATTATAATAAGAGTTTTAGTCCTTAGAAATATTTCAATATTTGTTTCTTCTAAAATTAAGTTAAATTTTGACAAATTGCAGGAGATTGTAAAAGAGAGAGAAGAAGAACGAGAGAAGCTGCGGAAAGAATTGCGAAGAAGCAGGGAACGTATACACGCGCTTGATATTGAGGTACAACGTCGTGAATTTTCGGAATTAATGACCACGACAACTCACACACAAACGATGCTTGGTTTGTACTTCATTTTCTTTAATTTATAATTTACAAAAAATATGGATTCTAAACGGAGCTAGATCTTTAGTACTTAAAGAAAGCTCTAGCTTGACCGTTTAGAATCCTTATTTCCTAAATTTGTGTAATCACATAACAATCTTAGAAAACTTATAAGGAAAGAGCCTGAACTGTCATCCTTCGACTTTAATGCGCTTTTAGAATGTTATTTTTTAGGCAAAAATAACCGACACGTATTTTTTTTATACGTACCCGTTTTCATTTTTAAGGGATGAAGGGAAACATCCCTTCGAAAAAAATTGATTTTTTTTCGAAGCAAATATCGAAACTGTAAGATAGAAAAAAATATTTGAAATGAAAGTTGCATGATTTCAAGAGTACTTTATAATAAAAAAAAAGAAAAAAACGATAAAATTTTTTTATTTGTTTATCTTTATTACTTGATTTTTAAAAAATTTTGATTCCTTTTTATAATAAAAAGAAAGATTATTTTAAGATGAATTAATCACGTATGACAAAATTATTTTCCAAAATATCATTTTTGAGAAATAATTAAAAACGTCTTTATGTGCGTGCCTTTATGTCCATACTCCTTCATGCAGCACGTTCTGCGCATTTTCGCATAATAGGAAATAGAATTTCAGAAATAGATATAAATATATAAGACACGGCTGGATACAGCACTTGTATAATGTTTGAATAAGATAGTGTCAAGATCGAAAGTCATTATGTAATTGTAAAACGAAGTATAGAGTACATCCCACTTATATGAATTACATTTATTGTTTCACATACAAATTGAATTAATAAAAAATCGTATTTCTTTATTTAAAATGAAGGAGGAGAATCGAATTGCAAGATAATTGAAAGTCAATTGATGTAAATAATCGATGATATAAATAAGTGTATTCCGTTTATGTATGATGTGCATATATCATTTATTTGTTATTTATGAAATGATAAATAAAGGAAAAAGTAAATGATACATTATGCACATAGTAATAAATCAGAATGTATCACATATTTATAAAGTTAGTACACATATACGTATATGTAGACATACAGTCAGTGCAAAAAGTACAGTCAAGAAATTTAGTTTCTAAAATTTACATACGAAACTTGTTGTTAGGTTAAAGCAGAATGTATTCATTATATTAGAATTGGGCATAATTGATTTGTAAATGTAATTAATTATAATTGTAATTATTTTAATTGCAATTACAATGTAGTTACAATTACGGTGCAATTAAAATAATTGCAATTAAAATATATGTTGAGTCACAATTATATTTAATTCAATTACAGTTATAATTATAATTGCATATGATTATTTTCATAATTTTTTTGTGTTTTGTTTGTGAGGAGAAAAATCTTTGAACTCGACCATCTAGGGACACAAAGATCATCCCTAGGTAGGTAAACATCCGAGTTTCGAATTAGTACATCGTAAAGTAGTACTGTAAAAGATACTATTGTTTACGTTATCATTTACCTGCTAAGAAATTCCCCCTTATGCAGTTCGGATAAGGAAGCAAACGGTTTTGGAACCGTTTACCTAGCATTTCTTCAGGAAATGCCCATTCTATACCCTTGAAGTAGAATGTCCACGAGAAACATTCCGGATAAACATCCAAATTTACATTAATTAACTAACTAAATTAGATTTTATATACAGACTATATACAAAAACAAACGATTTAACGTTGAGTCAAAATCGAAACGAGTCTTCAGACAACGCGCGAGGCGATTGGCCTCGTTTTGGCGAATCTTCTCCGCTGACTCCTCGCTTCACATCACGGACTCGCAAAATCAGATGATGCAATCCATTTAGAGAAAGAACCACAATGGTTTTCACTACATCCAAATAACTTCTGTTGACAGATCCCAAGTCAAAACCCCGAACAGGGCTTCCTTCTCTTTTGCCCATGAGAAACAAAAGAGAAAAGTGTGTTTAGCTATATCAATAGCTGCCCTGCAATACGCGCATATCGGGGATCCAGTTTTATTAATTTCGTAAAGATAGATTTCAAAGCTACCTATGACCTGTGAGGATCTAAGTGGTCCAGTATGTAAAATCATCATGAGCTCTCCCCAGTCATTTCCTCAAAATGGGCGTGAGGGCATCACGCACCACCCTCCCCCTGGCATAGAAAATCGTATAGATATCCTTCCCAGCGAACCACTGAGCGTCCGCATTGAATCTCCTTTATGAGAGCCTGCGCTATTCATCCATTTAGAATCGCGCTTCTCTGTAAATAAGTGCACTAAACCAGCCTGGAATCTAAAACATTATTCTAGACAGAATGTGACTCTTGTGACACGATTATACCTTGATCACTCGTAGAGAAAGATGTGGAGTTGACCAACTTTTCTGCATATGTCGCAGTCGTCCCTCACATCCTGCGTCCAAATGGAAACCATAGAGAATCGACAACCTGCGCCTCTACGCCTGCATTCTCCTGGCCCTCCGATATTACTCCTACTCAATGCGGCAGCCATTCCTCAAGTCTTCAATAAAAGGAGGCGAAAGTGCTCTCGGAAGGCCCACCTCAAGTCCAGGATCAAGTCCAGGTACTTAAAATAGAACCGTCTTCTTCACCGAAGGGTCGCTTCCAGAATGTCCTTCCTTATGAAGGCAACTATCTCAGTCTTTTGGACACCCTCAGCGCCAGGCGCTCGATAGTTTGGGCCAGGAATGTCATACCCAGTTCCGCCCACATACGAGGCTTCTCAAATGAGGAACCCTTAATAAGTTTTGTCTGCATAACAGATTATGGAACATCCGATCGGCAAGCGCTAATGGAATCATTCCATAAAGTTCGTCCAAGTACCGAACCTTGTGGAACTCAATACATCATAATCTAGCATGTAAAACGATTCTCCTGAAGGGTAAGACAAACTTCTATTAAATAGGTAGTCTCTCAGGACGCACCGGAGATATTTCAGAACATCTTTCTCCTCTAGCGCACTGCGGATGGAAACCTATTATGGAAACAAGTTAAAAGCGTTAGCTATGTTTAAAGACACTGCCAATACTATCCTCCCCCACCCGCATGCCGTTCTCCATCCGTTCTCTCAGACGCTAAATAGCGTCGAATAGACGGTGTTTTCAAAACCCAAATTGATTATCCAAAATATTCCCGGTAGCATCTAAGTGCCGCTACAATTTATCGCAGATGACGCGCTCGAATTTGCCTGATTCGCAATGCAGGCATCTAAATTTATATGAAAAGAAGGCAATATCAAGCTTATTTGGCTTTTTTAAAAAGACAAGCTTGACAGTTTCCCTCAGGGAACTCGACACCTCTTACATTCCGCGATCTCCTCATTTCACTAATATACTGACTCGGCAAAAGGCCGTCTAGGCATACTAAAGTCGGAGATTTCCCGAAGCAATCCTCCAACATGCGTACATATGTACTGACAGGCCTTCAAGAGAAGGGACCCACGCCTTAGAGATAGCAAAATTCAAAAGATATAAATCCAATTTTTCAGAACACTAGCTGGGAAAAAATCGTCTATCAGTAATTTTCTTGAGTGGGTATAAATTAGACTTGACCTCCATCTTGCACAAAGAAAGATTCAGTAATTACTAATTTCACGAAACAAGTTGGTATTCATAATCGAATCTTGCATTTAAGACTGTCTTAAGTACAGTGTTAAGATGTCATAAGTTCAACGAGGACTATATTAATATCTTAAAACGCTATATTTAAGACAGTTTTAAAATAAAAACGGACTATGAATACCGTTTATCATAGTTAGTCAATGTTTCATAGTTAATAGTTTTCTTCTTATGAACAGTTTATAGGCGGAAAAGGCAGAAATTAGAAAGAGATATTATTCAACTACACATATATTATTCCTTTCATTGGGTATGTCCTACGGCAAAACATCTATAACACTGCAGTCGGCGCACCTGGCCGACGACAAGCTGAATCTAATATACGACCATTCGCTGTTTCATGTATGCCATGGGGCATTGCATTCATGTAACGTTTAACCCCCTCTCCTCCTCTGCCAAGGCGTAGAGAATCTATCCTAACTTCCGTAGTAGAAACGCTACTGCAACTCGCCTCGGCTTCCGCAATTTCGATTTGAGTGACAGATTGATTTATATATCTAATAACCGAAAATATCTAGTCTCCTAATCGGCCGTATCAATTTAACTTTATCCTGATTTTTGAATATCGTTTTAAGACGGTCAGTCAATTGATCTTTGATTTTTTTTTGCTCTTAAGGGCAGGGTTTTTCACCTGGAATCTCAATGGAATTTCTCTGCCTTCTTAATTTTAGTATTCGTAATACCAAACTCCGTAAGGGAAATATTTCTCCTAGCTTGTCCCACTACCTTAGAGTAGGAAAGGCCATCCTTCTCGCAACAGATCATCACGGCCGCCGATTTCGATAATCGCAAATCCTCCTTCCCCGCAAATCGAATCTGCTCAGCATCATGAGTATCCGCTGACGAGTTACGTTCGATCGCTACGTACACTCGGACCCTGAAAGAGCCAGGTGCCGACGCAACAGGTCCCACATTCGCATGCCAAGTCCCAGGCATCATATTTCGATCTAATTTTAGCCTATTTGAACCTCCGCTTTTTTTCTTCTTGCTCTTCCGCCTGTTCTTTCCAAAAACGGTAATCCATTCTTCGCCCTTATTTGGCCCAATCAAAAATAGTCAATTGCCCACATCAGAGCCCCTCACTCTACCATAGGTAGCAATGATAGGGAGTAGCGATAATTTATCTTCTTCCAGATATTCAAGATGTTTTCCGGAATTACCTTCGATATGTCCCTAATAGGGAGATGACAAAAGGGAGATTACTAGATATCCCAGCTCATTCTCAACTTCACAATAGTCTCCCCGAAGGAGGCCGGAAACATCACGGTCTCTAGGGGCCAAGGCAGTATCCACGTCAGGGTACTAAGAAATCTGCCTAGCTACTGCAGAGAGCCCAACCTTCTATTAGTCTCACGCAAACAGGAGATCTGCTCCC